CGGTGGCAGAGGCAAAAAGCCGTTAAGCCACACAAGCGCGTGTGGGGCTGCAGATCACCCCGACCGGCGACCGGCCTATCTAATTTCTGGGGCGTCTGCTTCTATTAGTTACTTTTTAGTCGCCCCCAGTCGGCCCTCGGTTATAGTATGTCCGAGCAGCAAGGAGATGTGGCTGCAAGGTGTTATGTGTCAGTTGTATGCTCGAAAGATTACCTTTAATGTCGTAAGGAGTCGCGGTGAGTATCTTCCAGAAAAGTTTTACGATCCTTATGGCAAGCCTAATCCCATTTTCTGGAGAGTCGGAATAAACCCCGGCAAGCCTCAGGGGTACCGCACATTGATGTAAGTTACTTGAAGCCTCGGCCCATCCCCCCTCAACCATAGAAGCTTTCCCCGCACATCGCTGGTAGCTTTTGGAGTTCACCGGTAACTTATATACGGCTCCCCCACGCCGATCGTGACTTCTCCCCCCATCATTTCTTCCTCTATTCACCCGTCCTTGATCACCCATCCTCTTGCGCTTTGTCCCGCGACATCCGCCTCAGCATATACCCACATTCCTACAGAGAGCTGAGAACCTCACACCCACGACACGATGGTTTTCCTACCTCCAAAAGAGGCAGGCACTTTGCCGCCTATTCCGGACAATATTCCGCTCAGTGAATTCATGCTTACAGAGTTGTATGGGCGGAATCCGCTGGGTTACTCACGGGACCCTTTCACTTGCGGCATTACCGGGAAAAGCTTCTCCGCACTAGAAGTGGTGGATCGTGTCGATTACCTGTCTCGCGCTCTGTCCAAGGAGCTAAACTGGAAGCCGAATACAGGCACCGAATGGGATAAGACGTTAGCAATCTTCAGTTTGAACACCGTGAGTCTCAACCCCCAGGTCGCTACGACATACTAGCTCACCAGATTATCTTCCCAGATCGATACCTTGCCACTGTCATGGGCCGTCCACCAGCTGGGGGGACTGGTCTCCCCGGCTAACGCAGCCTACTCAGCTGCTGAGCTCAAGTATCAGCTGCTCGATTCCAAGGCCAAGGCTTTGTTCACCTGTCTCCCTCTCCTACAGACCGCTCTCGAGGCTGCATCCCTCGCTGGCTTGCCCAAGGATCGCATATACTTGTTGGAAGTCCCACCACAACTCACCCCCGGAGTCAAGGCTCCAGCCCAATTCAAGACAGTCTCGCAGTTCATTGAAGAGGGAAAGTCGCTCCCCAAGGTCGAGAGACTGAACTGGGCCGCCGGAGAGGGTTCTCGGCGGACGGCCTTCCTATGCTATTCCAGTGGGACATCCGGGTTGCCTGTGAGTTAGAACTTGCAGCAAAATTTATGTGACTGATCGCATCTGACCTCATACTAGAAAGGTGTCATGATCTCTCATCGCAATGTCATTGCAAACGTGCTCCAGATCCAAGCATTTGAGGGCACTTGGCGCGACTCCCTCAAGGCTCCCGGAACCCAAGGCAACCACACCGAGGTGGCATTGTGTTTGCTTCCTCAGAGCCACATCTATTGCCTAGTAGTTATATGCCATGCTGCTCCATTCAGGGGTGACCAGGCCGTTGTTTTACCAAAGTTCGAATTGGATCTATATCTAGCTTTCATCCAGAACTTCAAGATCTCGTCACTGTTCCTGGTCAGTATATTTGCTCAGATGAAAGCGCTGTTCCGAGCTGGGACTAATTGAGTAACTCTAATAGGTCCCTCCGATCATCATCAACATGCTCCGCAACCACGAAACTTGCGCGAAATACAACCTAAGCTCAATCAGGAGTATTTTCACTGGTGCTGCACCCTTGGGTGTGGAAACAGCGGAAGACTTCCAGAAACTTTACCCGAATGTAATAATTCGGCAAGGATACGGTACGCATTCCTCTAAGACAACTAGTGTCTCACACTGACATGGACGCGCAGGTCTGACTGAGACATCAACTGTGGTTTGCTCGACTCACCCAACCGACGTCTACTTGGGTTCATCTGGCACTCTCCTTGCTGGCGTTGAAATGCGCATTGTAACCCCCGAAGGTGAGGAGATCACAAGCTACGACACGCCCGGTGAACTGGTGGTCCGCAGCCCAAGTGTCGTCTTGGGTTACCTAAATAATGAGAAGGCGAACCGGGAGACCTTTGAAGACGGGTGGATGCGAACCGGTGACGAGGCCGTAATCCGCGTGGGGCCGAAGAAAACGGAGCACGTCTTCATTGTCGACCGTATAAAGGAGCTCATTAAGGTCAAGGTATGTTTTCACTGATTCGTCTTCTTACTAAAAGTTCGCGAAGTAACCGACCGAAATGAACAGGGATTACAAGTGGCTCCAGCCGAACTGGAGGCTCACCTTCTTACCCACCCCGCCGTTGCTGATTGTGCTGTCATCGCCATCCCCGACGAGGCGGCTGGAGAAATCCCCAAGGCTATCGTGGTCAAGTCACCTTCTTTCCGTGGCAGTGACGAGGAGGCTATCCAATCCATCAAGAAGCATGTTGAAGAACACAAAGCCCGACACAAGTGGCTCAAGGGCGGCGTTCGCTTCATTGATGTCATTCCCAAGAGTCCTAGTGGTAAGATCCTGCGTCGGATGCTTCGCGATCAAGAGAAGGAGGCAAGGAGAAAGGCTGGGTCCAAGCTGTAGGCATGCTTATAGTTTGGCATACTGTGAGAGCGGTGCGCTGCAGAAGATTTAGCCCCAGCACGTCCCCTCCTATGGATATAAAGATTTCATATAATAGATAAGATTTCATTTACCAGAATGTTCTTCAGATAAGATACAAACAGTAGAAGGTTAGTACATAGTGACCCCTTGAGCGGATGTTTGCTGTGTTTGCATCCATCGCGGGGAAAGAATCGAATTTCTAAGCGGGGGTTGATCGGGAAGATTGATCAGCACCGAAAAAAAATAATACTCATTCTTCGGACGTCGCCCTCTGTCGTTCCTGCACATTTCCCTTAAATATTCATAATCGGACGGTCGCAAGCTGTTCCTTACCTGAAATTTCCTCTCTAACACTTCCACAACCGAGAACAACACATCCCCTGCGTTCGGTGCAACCCCGCAGTTCATATTTACATCACCATGTCGTCGCAAGATCCTCACCGCGCCGACGACGACGCCTACGTTGATGCCGATGAAGCTGATGAGGTTATCAACCGCGATGAGGACCACCCCATGGAGTCCGATGGTGAAGATGAGGATGGCGATCAGCCCATGAGCTACGAAGAACAAGAAATCACCCTGCAGAATGACTCTGCCGCCCATTTTGATAGCCACAACGACTCCGTTTTCTGCATTGCTCAGCACCCCATCCACAACAACATTGTTATCACTGGCTCCGGAGACGATACCGCTTATATCTTCGATTCGACGCCGAACGATGAGCGCCCCGTCCTTCCCCGCAGCTACGAGTCGGACCCGCAACCCAGGCGCGAGCGGGATTCTCTTCAGCCCCTCCTCAAGCTTGATGGCCACTCCGACACCGTGAACGCCGTCGCATTCACAGAACCCAAGGGCGAGTTTGTTATCACTGCAGGAATGGACGGCAAGCTACGTGCTTACCGCGACACTACCCCCCAGGGAACTGGGCTCGCATGGCAGTTCCTCGCGGAGGTTCAAGAAGTGGAGGAGATCAACTGGGTTGCTGTCTGCCCTTGCGAAAAGGGCAACGAGGAGAAGAGCAACATCATTGCTCTGGGTGCTAACGACGGTAGCGCTTGGGTGTTCCGCATCGACCCCCGGGACGCCGCTGCTCCCATCTCCATCATTCAGTCTTTCTTCCAACACACCGGATCCTGCACTGCGGGTGCCTGGACTCCCGATGGAAAGCTGCTGGCGACCGTCTCCGAGGACGGTAGCTTCTACGTTTACGATGTCTTTGGCGACGCTGCCGCCGCTGGCGTCTCTTACTCCCCGGGTACTAGCGCTGTCGTCGGTCTGACTGCGGAGGACCAGCGCTTCGCCGTCGAGGGTGGTCTGTACTCTATCGCCATCTCCCCGGGTGGTGCTATTGCTGCTGTTGGTGGTGCCGAGGGCAACATCAAGGTGGTCGGTCTTCCCCGTCTGGCGCCGGCTGGCGGCGCTGCTTCCAAGGCGAAGGGCAAGGGCGCTGCTTCACAGGCGACCGCCTCCGCTGCAGGCACCCTCCTGGCCTCTCTCCAGGCTCAGAGTGACGGTGTCGAGACTCTCTCTTTCTCTTCCCCTCCCCTGACTCTTCTTGCGGCTGGCTCCGTGGATGGCTCGATCGCCCTGTTCGACGCTGCCCATCGCTTCGCTGTCCGCCGTCACATCAAGGAGGCGCACGAGGGCGCCGTGGTTAAGGTTGAGTTCCTGCAGAGCCGTGCTCCTGCCGGCCCCTTGCCTCGTCCCAGCCCGCTGGCAGCCGCGACGGCCGGTCAAGGCCAACCGTGGCTGCTCACCTCCGTGGGTATGGATGGTATCGTCAGACGCTGGGATGCCCGTGGAGGAACCGCGGCTGCTGCTCAGGGTTTGTTGAAGGAGTGGAAGGGCCACTTGGGTCTGGTTGAGAACTCGGAGGGTGAACAATCCGGCGGTATCATGGGCTTTGTGCAGAGCTCGGATGGTAAGCGGGTCGTTACCGCCGGTGATGACGGTATTTCTCTGGTATTTGAGGAGTAGATATTTTATGACTATTAGACCAAAAAGCCTGTATAGATGCGGATTTCCGAGGTATCGCGTATTAATGCAATTTATGACCATGTTCAGTTCTCAGTTAATTAACAGTGTCCTGCCTAGCATCATGATATATAGCAGTACTACCACTAATAGTTCATACTCTAGTTCGTTGCTATGCTGAGTAATGTCAAATACCTACACAGTCTGTATACGATAAGGTTTGAACAAAATGCACTTGATGTGATAAATAACAGTTACTATGTACACCCGACAAATGAAACAACCCAAGCGCCGTCTGTAGAGAGCTAAGGGTCAATCATGATAATGAGACAAAAAATCTATCCCAATCGAATCGACAATCCCTTCTCCCGCTTGTACACCACACATTGTGACCCTCTAATCACGTACGGATGCCATTGATCTCGGCAATCCGGGGTATCCTTCATCTTTTTTCCATCGCATGTCGGCTTCTTTCTTCCAACTCCGCACCGTTACTTCCCCCAATCGTGATTTAGTGGTGGCCCTCGCCGTGGTGGTGGTGGTCATCCTTCAGGAAGAAGTGCTCGTAGGCGCAGTAACCGGCGAAAGCAACGCTGGCAATGCCGAAGCCAGGGAAGATGCGCTTGAAACGGTTGATGCGGCTGAAGGGACCGGTGTATCTCCAGGCCTCGCTGGGGTAAATAGTCAGTACAACACGTAATTATCGAATCGGCAGTGGATGTATCGTACTAGCGAGCCCAGGGGTCCTTCTTGGCCCAGGCCGACCGGGGGTGGGCGGCGGCCTTGAATTCGTTGATGTCAAATCCGGTGGGGTTGGGAGCCATGGTGAGCGGATTGGCGATGGATGAGGGGGTGACTTGGTGGTGAGTTAGACGGCGGATCGAATATTCAGGAAATTGAGACCGAGATCCGCAGGGTCCGGACAGACAATGAACGGGAAACCGGGGGTGGTAGCGTGAGAATAAGGACAGGCGGAAACAGAGGAAGTTGAAGCTGTACGGAAACGAGGGAGTTCGAGCGAGGACTGGGGGCTTGGCGCACTAGTCCGGATCCAGCAACCGCAGCTGTCCGCCTTCTTCGCCGACGAGGATGAGCCCGTCCGTCCCAGAGCCCAGCGCGAAAAGAGCCGACCGACCCCCTCCCACTCCACTTCAACTCATCGTTCATCCCAATCTCAGATGCGTGACGGTTGATCAGCTCTCTCATCGCTGCCTTTCAACATGCCCCCTCCCGTCGGCCGATACGGGCCTACTGGCCTAACAGCTTCCTATACCCACCTACAGCAAGCCCATCTCCAGCAACAGCAACAAGCCCAACATCATCCGGCCCAAGCCCAGTCGGCCAACTCAGCCCTCCCTCCTCCATCTCTCGGTGGTCACCCCGGTTTTGCTACCGGAAACCCGAACACAAATATCAATCCGTTTACACTGTCCGGCACCGGTATCGCAAATGGTATGTCCGTCGCAGGGTTCGCGAGTGCCGGGGATGGAGGCGGCACCGGACTCGCCAGCCACGCCGCCCAGATGGGCTTCGCACGAGGCGCGCAGATGCAACAGCAGCAATTACATCAGACTCACGATGGCCGACTGGCGCTCGAGGCAAAGGCCGGTGCGGTGAAGACGCGGATACGTGACGTATGGAGCCACAATCTGGCTCAGGAAATGGCCATCCTGCGACAGTTTGTCGAGAAGTATCCCTACATCAGCATGGTAAGATGCAGCTAGCTATGGAGCTGGGAAATTATGAAGTGCTCGGCTCCTTTTACTGGGAGATGAGGGAACGCTAACCAAGGCCCAGGACACTGAGTTCCCCGGTATCGTCGCACGTCCAATGGGAGCGTTCACGAATAAAGCAGATTACCACTATCAAACTCTCCGGTGTAACGTCGATCTCCTGAAAATGATCCAGCTCGGTATTACCTTGTTTTCTGCCGAAGGCGAGGTACCCCCGCCCAACGCTACGGATGCGAATGGACAGCCTCTCGGAAACAGCCTCGTCCCGGCGCCGTGCACATGGCAGTTCAACTTCCGGTTTTCGTTGGAGGAAGATATGTACGCACAAGAGTCGACGGCTATGCTGGCCAAGGCGGGTATCGATTTCTCCATGCACGAGAAAAATGGCATCGACCCCTTTGAGTTCGGTGCTCTTTTAATCAGCTCGGGGCTGGTTCTTTTGGAAGATGTCCATTGGGTCTCTTTCCACTCCGGCTATGATTTCGGATACCTCATGAAGATTATGCTCTGCAAACCTCTTCCCGAGAACGAAGAGGAATTTCACAAACTCCTCAAGATCTTCTTCCCGTCGCTGTATGATATCAAATATTTGATGAAACATGCAGGACGCAATCAGGCTGTAAACGACTCTCCGTTAACGCCAGCCGCTGCTCAAATCCTCACTAATCTCGGACAGAAGTCGGGTCTGCAAGACATTGCGGATGAGCTCGGTGTCAAGCGCGTCGGCATCGCTCATCAGGCAGGGTCGGACTCTCTCGTGACGGGTGAGATTTACTGGAAGATGCGCCAACTCGTCTTCAACGGCAGCATCGACGAGTCGAAATACTCGGGTCAGATTTGGGGCTTGAACGGTCAGATGCCGGCTTTGCTGTACCACATGCAGCCACATCAGACTCCCAATCTCAACGGCGCCACAATCTACTCGGCTGCCGGCACGCCAAGCACCCCCAATGCCGGTCACCTGGGCAGCCAAACACCCCATACGATGACACCTGGTGCCACCGGCGGCGTCCTGGGGCAATTCCAGCTTGCCAAGTCATGAGGCTCGTCGGTTTGTCTGGCTGTCTTGGTATTATCTCCTTTCAATATTTGGTGTTAGATCAGGTTCGGGGAGTTCGAGATATTGTCTACGTTTAGGTACATTTTCCCTGACTCTTTACTCTCTTGCTTGTATAGGCTCCTACTCCTGACCGGTTGGATCTGGAAACAGCACCCGGATCCACGGTCACTTCTCTCCATTGAACCTTAGCCGGCCGTTCTGATTACTTTTTCACCTGTTTGTCATGTTGCTTTCGGCAGAGATGGCAAGGAATCTATATGATGTGATGGATGTACATAGCATGTGGCATCGGTTGTGTTTCTTGGTGCATTGTCTTGTTTGCTAGTGTTTTCTGTTTTTCGGTCCGTTTCAAGGAGTTCATCGCCTGCAGTGCCTTCGTATTGCCTTGGAGGTGGGTGTTTGCAATAGGTGTATGGTGTTCGTCTCCGGCTGGAATGTGATCTACGTCAAGCATTATTTCGTTAAGCGTCCGGGGTTTGCTACTCCTTTCGATTCTATCCCCGTAGGTAGAACTGGTTGGGAATCTACTTTGCGTCTATGATAGACATGTTAATAATTAGCATTACTAAACTATCTTGTTAGTATTTCAGACCCACCTCAGCCTTTGTGGCTCAATGACAGCCTGGCAGTGATGCAGAACGCGTTGTATTACCCCGTCCGCGATCGGTCTGCTGATCTTGCGTTGAGAGGGGGGAATCGAACCAAGACTGTCCATCCCTTGATGAGCCTGATAGGGGCAACCACATCCGACGCCTAGATCGGACCCTTCCAGGCCGACGCTCAGGTCAGTGTGCGAATCCGGGGTAGCCTATCTCACCGGTAGTCGTAGACAAGGTTCCGATTGCCGCTTTGAGTCGCAGCGGAGAAGCAGGTGGCACTAGACCGCTTCGGGGCAAGGAATCCGGGCGTGCTTATCGAGGCGTATCTTATCGGTCGTGCAGCGGTCGTGCTGTACAATCATATCCTCCTCTGGCAATGCGCTCGTGCAGCCATGCGCGGGCTGCTTATAAGATGGGTGGTCCCCTCAGTATCGACTATGGTTTCACACAGTCTGGGTGGTAACATCACTTTACTTCTTCATTTCTTGTCCTACCGTACAACCGGCCAGGTCGCCGGTTTATTTTCCAACTGAGGAAAACATATACTTTTACCTCTCACATACTTCGTTTCTACTACACGCCAATTACTCACTTCGTTGCGAGATAATTCCGGTCGCTTGCATTACACCGCTCCTTCATCATGGTTCTTGAGCGCCTTCAACAGCTGACCCATCAGGTCCAAGCTACTTCTCCCCCTCCTCACCCTTTGGACCCTCTTTCGACGGTGGAAATCGACGCCGCTGTCGCCCTTATCCGCAAGGAATATGGCAAGGTCAACTTCAATGCCATCACTCTCTATGAGCCCCGCAAGGCGGAGATGATGGCATGGCTGGAGAACCCGCAGAAGGCTCCCCGTCCCACTCGTGCGGCCGACGTCGTTGCCATTGCGCCGGGCGGCAAGGTGTACGATGGAATCGTCGATCTTGATGAGAACAAGATCGTGAGATGGGAACACACTCCTGGAGTGCAACCCCTGATCACCATGGAAGACTTGCAGGAGGTCGAGTCGATTGTTCGCAAGGACCCCAAGGTCATTGAGCAGTGTGCGATCATCGGCATTCCGAAGGAGGATATGCACAAGGTTTACTGTGATCGTAAGTTGTCGTCGCACGACAGGTTGTGACTTGTGTGATGCTAATTCACCTGCAGCTTGGACAATCGGGTACGACGAGCGCTTTGGCAATGGTGTCCGTCTGCAGCAGGCTCTCATGTACTACCGTCCCCACATTGACGATTCGCAATACACGTATCCTCTGGACTTCTGCCCTATCTTCAACGCGGAGACCAAGCAGGTCATCCACATCGATATCCCGCCGGTGCGGAGGCCCATTAGCAAGGCGCCTCCCAACAACTATCACCCCGCGTCTATTGAGAAAGAGGGCAGCTACCGGACAGACATCAAGCCCATCCACATCACGCAGCCAGAGGGTGTTTCTTTCGGCATCAACGGACGCACTATCGACTGGCAGAAGTGGAACATCCACGTTGGTTTCAACTACCGTGAGGGTATCGTTTTGAACAACATCACCTTCAATGACAATGGAAATGTCCGTCCTGTGTTCTACCGTCTGTCTCTTGCGGAGATGGTCGTTCCCTACGGAAACCCTGAGCACCCTCATCAGCGCAAGCACGCTTTCGACCTGGGAGAGTATGGTGGTGGCTACATGACCAACAGTCTTTCCCTCGGCTGCGACTGCAAGGGTGCTATCCATTACATGGATGCTGCTTTTGTCAACCGCGCAGGTGCTAGCACCGTCGTCAAGAACGCCATCTGTATCCACGAAGAAGATGCCGGTATTCTCTTCAAGCACACTGACTTCCGTGACGAGTCTGTGATCGTAACTCGCGGCCGAAAGCTCGTTATTTCCCACATCTTCACTGCCGCCAACTACGAGTACTGCGTCTACTGGATCTTCCACCAGGATGGTACTATCCAGCTCGACATCAAACTCACCGGTATCCTGAACACATATGCCATGAACCCCGGCGAGGACACCAAGGGCTGGGGCACGGAAGTCTACCCTGGCGTCAACGCACACAACCACCAGCACCTCTTCTGTCTGCGTGTGGACGCCAACGTCGACGGACCCAACAATACCGTCTTCCAAGTCGACGCAACTCGGAGTGAAGCCGAGGTCGGAAGTGCCGAGAACCCGTACGGAAACGCATTCTACGCTAAGAAGACGAAGTACACCACGCCTCTTGAAGCAATGTCCGACTACGACGGCAACACATCCAGAACCTGGGAAATCGCCAACACCAACAAGCTGAACCCCCACAGCAAGAAGCCCGTCTGCTACAAGCTCGTCAGCCGTGAAGTCCCTCCCTTGCTTCCCAAGGCGGGTAGTTTGGTCTGGAAGCGGGCTGGATTCGCTAGACATGCTGTGCATGTCACTAAGTGTAAGTGCCTATCATTACCTTTCATAATGGAACTGTTTCACTGACCTCCAAATAAAGACTCCGATGACCAGATTCACCCTGCCGGTCGCCACGTACCCCAGACCTCAGGTGAACCCTCCGAGGGTCTGCCAGCCTGGATTGAAGCCGCTGGTCCGAACTCCTCGATCGACAACACGGACGTCGTCCTATGGCACACGTTCGGCCTTACGCACTTCCCCTCCCCTGAAGACTACCCCATCATGCCTGCTGAGCCAATGACTCTGCTTCTCCGTCCGAGACACTTCTTCGCGAGAAACCCTGCCTTGGATGTTCCTCCTAGTTTTGCTCGCACGCCTTCGCAGGTTGCTGCTGGTGCTGGAGCATGCTCGTCTTGTAAGAAGAGCGATGGATCTAGTGTCCAGGTCTAGTTTGCACGGTTCAATTACTTCTTTTCTTTTCTTCCCTCTTTGTGAAGGTATCTTTGTATGATTCCCATCATGGCTTTTGTTTTACTAGCATTTTAGTTCGCTTTTTGAATAGGATTTTCTGAAATCATTTCAAATGTAGTGATTTGGCCTGTAGATACCTTCCCCCTGTAAGTAAATTGATTGATGCCCTGTGCTTCTTCTTTGTTGACCTGAATGTGGATTCCTACAAACTCGGGGCGCGTAATCAAATCCATACAGGTTGCCTTTCCCACAACATTGATTCCATGAGAAATTTACAAATCTCCCTTTCCATTTTCCTAAACCAGATGTGAATTGGTTAACAACCCAGTCCGTGAAGCTTGTCTGGTCACTTCGTACCCTGGCAATAGTGACGTGGCAGGTATTAACGGACACTGTGTCCCAATTCACGCTGGCAGATTATTTTATGGAAATCTCCGAATGAAAAATCTTGCTGCCTTGCCATAAATGTTCACGTCTTTACTGCTCCCTTTCCTAGATTAACTGGTACTGCTATAATTGCCTATATTCCTGAACACTACTCAGTCTATGGCTAGGCACCGCCGCATGCTTCTCTTTGCTTTGGGCCATATGGCCCTGGAATTGCATCTCGCGGTGAAACAATGTGCACTCACTACGACTTTTACTTTACGAATCCCTGTGCTCGGTGATTCTATATACGTCGCGTATTGTATGAGGGTGGTTCTTCACCAGCCGCTTCATATTCATTGCTGTTAGTTACATCAGCTGATTCTCGTCCTGCCTCTTTCATAAAAAGCTCGCTTCTCCTCCCACTCTCTTCCTTTCTCCTCACACTTCCATCAGCATCATCAACGTATATACTCATCTCCATCTTCTATATACCTCAAGGCACCATCGACACAAGCAACATCCTGCAAACGTCTTCCTCTTTGATTTTTGATATACTAGACTTCCTACTTTTCCTCTTCATTGTTGGACTTACTCTACTGTGTGCAGGAATGTCCCTTGTCCATCGCCACATCACTCTTACTTCGTGAAGGGACCTATATCCATTCTTAATCTTCTGACGATATTGCGGGGCTTCGGATACTGTCCGTCGCTCGTTACATATAACGCTCTCCCTAGCTTTCTCGCTCTGACCTGCCAGGAAAACAGGTATAGCTGCGATGCTCAACTTCCATTGGCGTCAAGACCAGAGCACTATCGAGCTACTTGGTCATTGTCGATGCGTGCATCAATGACACCTTCATGATGCTTGTATCACGTTGTCGATGATATCGTGACCGTGATAGCTGACATGTGTCATGCCCCATATTACCCATATCGCTTGCAGGAGGGAGAGGATGAATATATACCCATCAACCGGCGTGGTGATGGTGCGATCGTCAGGTCCGCAGAGACAAACTATGCTGCTGGCTTTGAGCTTCGGCTGTTGCGATGGGATTCGCTTGATTGAGGGCCTCGCCCTGAATCACTCACTTAGTTTCGAGTTACAAACTATCACAACGATCCGGTGATTGTTGGCGAGAGACCACCATCACATAGCTGTCTGGGGAACACTCAGACTTTTGCTCAA